CTCCAATCACAAATGCAGACATGGTTTTATGTTTACACGGCGCGATGCAATGTAATGCGTAAAAAGACAGTATAAGTCATTATAATCAGTAATTATGTCCCCACTGGATGCAACAAATGCCTCGTTTATAATGGCTTTTATTGTTTGTGTTAAGAGGCGTAACATTTCCGTCAAAAGCTTGAGGCATTCGGCCAATCACAAACGCACTGGATAGCTGGCCAATCAGAGCACACCTCGTATTTCAGAATGATGAGAAAATTTTCATATTATGAAATATTAGTGCACTTTAAAATAACTGTTTCTATTTTAATATGTATTTAAAATGTAATTCTTGTGATGGCCAAGCTGAATTTTTAGCAGCCATTACTTTATAACAGTTTTTAGTGTCACATGATCCTTCAGAATTTATTCTGATATGCTGATTTGGTGTTCAAGAAACATTTCTTATTTTTTTTTTATCAATGTTGAAAACAGTTGTACTGCTTTTTACATTTTATATAAACTATTATACATTTTTTTCAGGATTCTTTAATAAATAGAAAGCTCAAAATAAGATTTTTTTTTGTAAAAAAAAAAAGCAAAAGTCTTAACTATCACTTTTTTTTATTAACATTTTATTATTCATTCTTTCTGAATAAGAAAAAATTCTAACTGACCCAAACTTTTGAACATTTGCATGCATCTTATCTCATTTGTGTACATTTAAGATAATAAGATGTATGCAACTCATCTTGTCTTGCAGAACACGTACAAGCAAAACAGACATCCGTCAAGAACAGCACAATGAAACTGTGAGGAAAAATGTGACTCTTCATCCAATCAAAAATATTCTAAATAAGGTTAAATATCTTTATCATGGAATTTTTTTTTTTTACAAATCTGTACTGTTGTTTAATTGACTTCACTTATTGATTTACCCTTGGCATTTGTAGGAGAACTCTTTAAAAAAGAAAATAAGCAAGAAGAAGAAGGTGAAGGTTAAAATTAAGAAGGAGAGTCCAAGCAGAGGAGTAAATGAAGAAGAGGTGGAGGAGACAGAAGGAAATGAAGCAGAACAGGACCACAGCAGCCAGAAAGATAAAGCCAGCAGTGCATTACTGACTCCCAAACGAAGGAAAATGAAACGCAAAGCCAAAGTAAAAGAGGAGAACTCCGGTCTACCAGAGTCCCCCAACAGCGAGGTCTCCAAACCCTCTAGAGGTATTGAAACTTAAGTTTCATTAAAACTATGAAATACCATATTCTATTTCATTTCATGCTTTTAACCTATTTATTCACAGGAAAAGAGGAAATCAAGAGAAAAAAGAAGACGGTTAAAGTAAAACGAAAGAACAAGATAAACACAGAGGAAGTTCCAGCAGCTTATGCACAGCCTGTTGATCTTTCAACTACTTTCGGTGAGTATCAGTGACCTCTAAAACACTTCGTTTTGATCATGGCTGCTCTTGGGGTAAATTTAGGCCTTGTGGGAGAAATTTTATATACTTATTGGCAATAATTGTTCTACATTGATATTAAAACAATAAAACAAACCAAAGCATTTGCTCAACGCCGACAGCCCTGATCTGTAGAAAAGTAGGAGACTAATTTAAAGCATTTAATTTGCCTGTTTCCTAATAGACATTTACCGAAAAGCAATTTTGGCTCTCAAAGCCCGACAGGAGCAGGACGTGGTTTCGGTATAATAAAGAAAAAGGATCATGGACGTCATCACACAGACTGAAGATCTTTGAAGAAATGGATGACCTATGAACATGCTGAACCACTTATTGATGTATTTTACCCAAACAGAAGTCTGCTATCAATGTCTGCAAACAGAAGTTCCTGTCTTGTAATGGCTAGAACATCATCATCAATACTTTTGCAAAGACTCGAGGCAACGTTCATAAAAATATGTATACTTTGTATTGTAATTGTATTAAGAGATTATTGAGAAATGATTGAGAAAGAATTATACTAAAAATGGGGCATCCATTCAAGAAGGTCTGTCCTGAAAACCGACTAGCTTTCTTATGAAAATGAGATTTTTGTATTATAACTTACTCACATAATCTAAGACAGTATATGATGAATCATTCTGATAGATAAACAGGGTGGTTTATCATGAAGTATATTGCATTCACTGTATTTTTTAATCTGAGATGTGTTCTTTTTTTGAGGTTTGGATAAGACGATTCCTACTTTTGTGTGTGTGTGTGTGTGTGTGTGTGTGTGTGTGTGTGTGTGAAATTTTATTTGTATCTTTTTAAAAAGCATATATAAATCCATTTCTATTTAGCCAATTTGTACTTTTCATATGTGTGTGACGGTTTTATATGGAGATAAGTTTGCATTATGGGATACCGCTTGCTCAAAATGATTGTCCCTGATGTTTTTCCACCAAATAAATGAACAAATAAATCCTGATCAAAACACTGGCAATATATTATTAACCTATTAGTTTTGAATAAGAGCATTTCTTAACCAGTTAGCACTTTAAGCTAGTCGGTCAAGCTGTCCTCTTGCTACCTGAAGGCTAACTGAAAAACAAAAGGAAATATTTAATTTGACCATTTGTAGCGTAGGTAATTTAATGCCATTTGTATTTTTAAAATAATTATTAAGAAATATAAAATAATATTAAGAATGGCTAAATAGGCTACACAGTGAAGCGATTTTTCTTCAGGTACCCAATAGTAGTGTTGGGTTCGAGTCCACCTCCGAGTCTTTAACCAATCGAGTCAGAGTCCAAAATAGGCAGAGTCGGACTCAAGTCCGAGTCCAACTAAACACTGCTGTCTGTCAGTAACCGGCGGAGCTTAGTGAATGGGGTCTGAAGAGCAGAAAATGCATCTCTTATCTCTGGTTATGGCTGTGTGTGTTTTGAGTGGGTTTTATATGGCGGGTGGTTAGACCTTATGGTAGACGGCATTTTGAATTTTTTCTTGGATGAAAATTAGGCTGTGAGGGATAGACTTTACAATGTATAAAAGCCCTACATGTAAATTCCATAACTCTCAGCCAACTCGCAACTGTTTTATTTTTAAATGGTAATTACATTACCATAAAACGTTCTCAAGCTTACTGAAGGCAAGTAAACAGTCTATAGACAAACAAACACAGAACGTTCCCATTTGGTTATTTTTTGGGAATTATTTGGGAACCAAACAAGAATGTTATAGGAACGTTCCCTGTAGGTTCTTTTTAAGTTTAATTTTATAACCTAAAGAGAACCTTCCCAGAACATTCCCTGTTGGTTAGCCAGGACAGTTTTCTTAACCCTAATAAGGTCTTTGGGGTCAATATGACCCCAATCAACTTTTCCTTAGTTAAAAAAAGCGTTCCCTTCATCTCAGTGGAATATGATTTTGTGACTTTTCAACATAACCCCAATTGAAAATGAATAGGAAATGCGAAAAAATCTATATATTTGTTTTTCATTTGTCAAAAAAAAAAAAAATCCAGCTTAAATCTGAAATTTTTCACACAGAAATTAAGGCCTGGTACTAGAGCACAAATGCAATGTAGGTAAGACATGCTCACTCACATGTACACGCGCACACACACACACACAAACACACACACACACAGGAGTGACTGCAACAAAGAGCATTTTTATAGAAACGGGCAAATAAAATCAATAAATCCTGCATAAATCTGAAAATGTCCACACAAAAATGAAGGCCTGATACTAGAGCACAAATGCAATGTTGAACGAGCACATTGAGGACATTTTTCTCTAACCAGCAGGTGGCAGAATTCTACACCTAACACCTAGATCAATATCCAGAAACAACTTAAATTAAATTGAGATAATCATTTAAGTGATTTTTCCATAAAAAAATTAATATTTCACATGCAAGCTAATGTTGTAGTTGAGGAATTTTGTGGTAAACCGGTACAAAAGTACTTCATATCCCCCAAAACACAGCAGTAATGTATAGATGAGAAGTAAACAAAAAAAAAACAAAAAAAATTATTTGTATGATTAAAAATGTATATATTGTTTTACAATTACTCTTTCAATTTTGGGATCATATTGACCCCAAAGACCCTTAGTGTAAACAGGAAACAAGTACCTTAGAACATACCCTTTTAGGTTAGCGGAACGTTTCCGGAAGTTCCCCTAACCAGATCTATAAAGTAGGCTAAGACATTTAATTAAGTAATAAATGTAAAAAAAAAAAAAAAAACACTGCACAATCTTCACTGTATGCATTAAATATGAATTATTTTGATTAAAGTTACTAAAGTGATTTTCTAATTTTCTTTTGTTGTTTGATTTACATTCACACAGTAGGCAGCATATCAGCATGTTTACGCTGCTGTTGCTTTAAGACCTGACTCACGGATCAAAATTTTGACACATCTGTATTTCTCCCAACTGTTCAAGTTCACTTAAGACATAACCGACTGCATTTACATGAATACTCTCCAAGACGGGCATTTTGACATAACTTTTCGTGTATTTGAGTTAGGACTGTGCGATTAATCGGAATCGAATCGAAATCGCGATTTGAGACGTTGCGATTTGCTAATCGATTGAAGTGAAGCTTGACTTTGCAAATTTAAAATCGCAAATCAAATCGCAAACGCAATATCTGTCAAAAAAATCGCAATTTGATATTTTCCCCCTAATGGCACAGCCCTAATTTGAGTGTGTAGCAATAACACGCTACTTGAGAGGCGCTTTCTGTGAGCGCACTTCGGGTGTGCACACAGAAACCCAGCAGCTTTCCAGTACTGGCAAGACTTAAAAACACATGCTAATTCTGAATGTCACTTTTGTGACAATCCAACTCTACCAAATAGTTGTCTAAACTAACAGAATTCCTTTGTTGACTGGGTTTTGGGACTACAGACAACAGTAAAAACCGAACAAAACATGCTGTTTCTGAACATTCTGCAGTCTCTTTGCAAGTTTGCTGACGCCCCCTAGTGTTGCACTGCAGTTGGGTACTATTGGCTTTATGCCTATGACATTGATCAACCGCAGCTCCCTCTCATGGTGCTTCCTAGTACTGAAGCGGAATGACATGCAGCCATATTTGACTGTATTCATCAAGCCCTTCCCCCCTTCAGCATCTTCAGCAGGACCGTGAAGAAAGCTGGACAACGGATGCCAATCGAAAGGAGACTTTACCGAAGATGGCCTCGCCAAGAACAGTAACCATTGTCGCCCTTTCCTTTGCACTGGGTCTGTTCTTCGTGTTCATGGGTACAATAAAACTCACACCAAGGTTGAGCAAAGATGCATATAGTGAAATGGTAAGTGATCGTCGCTTAGCAGCATCCATAATAAGCAAATGCTTTGTTTTAGGAGGGGGTGCGAAAGCAACGGGCTGTTTTTGCATTTTCTATAAAATGTCCGCTAGGGCTGTTGTTGCCTGCTTGTGTAATATAATTTTCATTCTTCGTATTGGCTGTGGAGGTGAATATAAATTAAGGTCCATTTAATTCCATTTATAATCTAAGATATAAGAACGACGTAATTAGATTCCTGATTATGAGTCGAATTATGTAAAACGATTGAACATAATTCGAGCAGTTGAGCAGCGCATTCTGTGCACAGCCGCAACATTGTTTCATTACCGCAAAAATAGGTCAATTATGACATCACAATGCGCATAATCTGTATGATAAACAGAAGAAGAAATGACGTGTGATGATTATTTTGTGATATCGTTCTAAAACAATCCTTTTGAAGCAGCTCCTGATAAAGCAATGGCGCCGCTTTCCAGCAAATTCTATCTCAATTGCAGTTGGGTCAATATGAGCATTAAAATAATACAAAAAACATTAAAAATAGCATTAAATTAATACCAAAAAAAGCATACAAATAGCATTAAAATTATAATAAAAAAACTCATATCAAACATTTGCACCCATTGCATCTATCTATCTATCTATCTATCTATCTATCTGTCTGTCTGTATCATTTCATCAGTTATTTTTGCAGTGCACATAATACATTGTTATATGCGTTCTTATTTGTGTTCATGTTAATTATTCTTGACAAAGTTGTACATTTCATGTTTACGTTCCCTTTCCAGAAAAGAGCGTACAAGAGTTATGCAAAGGCCCTTCCAGCATTGAAAAAAATTGGCATTTCTTCTGTACTTCTACGCAAGATTATTGGTACTCTTGAGGTGGGATGTGGAATTGTTCTGACCCTTGTGCCAGGGAGACCAAAAGACGTGGCCAACTTTATTCTGCTGCTGGTCATGCTAGCGGTGCTTTTCTTCCACCAGCTAGTTGGAGATCCTCTAAAACGCTATGCTCATGCCCTAGTGTTTGGTATTTTGCTGACGTGTCGGCTGCTCATTGCTCGTCAGGGTGAGGACCGGCCTGAGAGGGAGGAGAGACGAGAAGAACAGATCACCGCCCAGGAAAAGAACAAAGTCAAAGTTTCTTAGCTCCACAGTTTCACAAAGAGCGCCTGGCACCAGATCTATTTTTCTGGATAGTAGGAGAAGATGCTCGGAAAAAAAGACAGTAGTCCCAAAAGGTGATTTATGTCCCACAGCTACATATCAGCAGCCTGAAAATCAGATCTTATGTTACCTTTACCTCATGTCTCACCTGTAAAACTTCTTAAAATACAAATATTCAGTTTGGATAATCACCATTGTGGCAGCTGTTTTGGCTGTGGTTTTGCAACAAAAGATTAAACTACTGTTAATCCCTTTTGTATTTATTATTATTGTTTTGGCCCTGCATTGAACAATATCCTAAACGCCACTTTTAAGGTTACACTGTGATACAGGTAACTTCAAATGTCAACAATTTTTGTGATGTTTTATTTACTTTTTGAACTACTGTCAATGAATACTGTACAAAACGTTTGTAATGTTTACATTAAGATTGATTTTTTTTTAAGAAATGCTGTATATAATTTGTTAAAAGGTTAGAGTCAGATGGCAGAGGGTAGCTTTTCCGTTGCCTCAAAATCTGTCACAGCCTTCACAAATGAAAACATAAAAGCAGTTTGTTCAGTTACACATAAGTTCTACATATTATTAATCTTACTGTATCTATTATTTCTTAATTTACATTAAATAATATTTCTTTGTTTCTTTTATTAAATTTGATTTTCTAGTTTGGCTCTTGAACTACACAGTCCAATAAAATCGTATCCTTGGATTCTGCTTATGGTTGCTTTCTCCCTTTGAGTCATAGAACTACCACATTGTTTCATTCTTAAATGGATAAAATATATAAAATTGTTTTTGTGTTTTTTCAGATTTTTTAATTTACTCTATTTTCTTTAGATCAATTTGTTCCTTTATACTGTTCCTGAAAACCCTTACTAATTTTACATACTTGATTCAGGTTATGCATCACTACTAATAAACTGATGAAATGAATCGGGTGTGTTAAATAAGTGATACATTTAAAATGCACAGTGCTGGAGGGAGTAGAATTCAGAAACCTATCTGATATGTTTGGATGTATACTGATAATTTGCTGTTTGTAACTGCATATAAATACCTAACAGAGAACATGACCTGTGTCTAAACCTTTACCAGAATGCCCAGCTAGTTCATGAACTGAATTGTGCATTCTTAGTTTACACAGAATGGGTCATATTACACTCTTGACAGCGAGGGAATAAACTGATGTTTGTGCATGCAGATGCTGAACAAAGATGAATAAAATCTCTATGCAGTTTATCATGGAGTTTGGTGACAGTATTAAAAACATCACTTATGATTTTTATGTCTTGCTCACTTTTAGAAATTTGAATAGGAATATAATATGTTACCATTAGTATATTCTTGTCTAAAACAGACTGTAAATTAGTCAACCATATTTATGCTAATTAATCTTGCAGCATATATGCTATTCAGTATATTTAAGCACAATGCAATGTAAACCAGTTTTACAAACAAAAACAAATATCCTCAAAAAATAATTATCCTCACAAAAAAATAAGTTCCAATCCACCAAAAGAAATATTTAAAATGTACATGTGTAGTATTTTCTTAATTGTAGTATCATCACACAGTAGCGTCATTGTGCCCTTTTTTCTTTTACAGTTCTTACCTTTTAATACCAACATATATATTTATCAAATATAGTCAACTCAGTATATTCTTGTCTCAAAATCTGGTCTGATATTCTGCTGTTATATAATGTATATTTTAATTCGTTTTTCAACCACTTTGACGTTGCACACGCACTCCAGTAGGTGGCAGACATGCACTTCCTACGTTGGTTTGCAAACCACCATAAAACATCACATGAAGTAGAAGAGTGGCTCCTACCAGTGATACCTTGGACATAATAATAATAATAATAATAATATCCAATTTAGACATTGATTTAACCATGTGTGATATAATTTGTTATTTTATCATTGCAATCATAACATAACACATATAAGAAATGTACTTATTTTATTGGCTGAATATTATATTAATAAATGTACATTTTCCTCAACATTACCCAATTTAAATAATATTATTTGTGACTAACTACTTAACTATGACACTAAAAAAAACTGCGGCCTTTTATGAATATAAGCCTTTTTAAGCCAAAAACCACCCCTTAGAGGAATTTCTCTAAGCCACAGTAGCCATGTATAAAATATCATCCGTATAAAAATATCTACACTCGTGGAACTTCCCGTGGTATTTATTTGCGGGTGCATCTAGTTTGCATTGTTACTATTTAAAACTGTACACAATTGTTTATCTTTTAACACATTAACAATGATAAATGCAAATTACGAATTCAATGAAAAAGTCAATTTTAAAACACAATCATATATTAATAACATCTTTATATTATAATATAGCTAGCTGCAGTAAAGATATTCCGCTTTAAAATGTTAAGAGATAGAGGAAATGTTTCTGGTTAGAGGTTATTCAGACTCAAGCACTAAGAATTTGCTGTGGTGCTTTTAAGACTTCTTCAGTACCTGCTATACAAGTGGAAATGGGCGAAATGCCACTGGAATTAAGAAGGATTCAACTGATGGCTAATTATTGGGCAGGACTGCAGGGATATGATGACTCTCATCCCACAAAAGCAGTACTGCAGGATTGCTGGGAAAATGGAAGAAATTTAAAGGAAAACTTTGGTCGGATTGGAAACAACGTAGCAAAAGAGTTAGAAGTGTTTAACTTGCGAATAAGCCCTATGGTAGTTTTTCCAGAGATTGCCCCTTGGAAGAGTGCTTGGCCTGAGGTAGACTGGTTTGTGCTTAACAGAGGTTAAATGCATAATATGGGAGAAAGTCAATATAAGGTGGCAAGAGAGGTGGGAAAGAGAGGAAAAAGGGAGGCATTTATATAAAATTCAGAGAAATGTTAAAGAGGAAAGGATGGAAATTGGAAATAGGAGAGAAGATGCGGTGATGACTAGGTTAAGGTTGGGACATAAAACACTAAAGATGAATAGGGAAGCACGAATAAAACACTAAAGATGATAGGGAAGCACGAGACAGGGTTGTGTGAGGGATGTCGAGAAGAGGAGTCAGTGGAGCACATAATCATGACTTGTAAGAGATATGAAACACAGAGGCAGGTAATGAAGAATAAACTAAGGGAGATTGGGGTGCGGGAGATCACATTACAAGGGTTATTAAGCACAGTAAATAGGGCACAGAGTAGAATATTGATTACTTTTTTAAGGGAAGCAGGGGTTTTAAGCAGGATTTGATGTATGATGTGTGGTGTGTGTGTGGATATTAATGTGAGGGGACAGTGTGAGTGATGTGTAAGTTTTAGTGGGAAAAGGAATAGATAACCTATTATCTGATCTACACTCCGGAGCAGAAGGGGGCGGTAATGCACCAATAAGCTGGACGCCAACCTCAGTTAAACTGGAAAGAAGAAGAAGAAGAAATGTTTCTGATCCAAGCTACCTGATGATGGCAGTAATGCACTGTTAAGTGCGGTTGCCAGTAAAAGAAAGAAGAAGAAGACGATATTCCGCTTTCAGTTCGTACAGGAAGTGATGCAGTGCGCATGTCCAAACGGTCGCGGCAGATTTGGCGTTTGGTTTGAATAGGTTACTTCAGCGACCGAGACAAGCACGCGACAGGTAACAAATAATAATATAATGTAGCGAAAAAATGGCCGATTTATCTAACCTGGCGGGGTTAGGTTCCGAACCGTCCGGAGAAATAGACTCCTCTGCCTCCTCTGCGAACAACAGAAGTTTGCGTTTGGCAGAAAAAGAAAGGCGAAAAGGCGAGGCGGATCCCTTTGGTCTCGCGGTGAAGTATTTGTCTCAGGGTAAGTGCCAGCATAAAACATTATAGAAACGTATTAGAAAAACAACTTTAGGGTGTTACAGTTTAATAGTAGGAACGCGTTTTTTAAGTTTAATTCATTGTTCTTTTGTTTTTGTTCTTCTGATAACAACTCTGGACGACTTCACGACTGTTAAGTCTTTTGTTTATCTGTGTGAGGGTGTCGTCATCAGAAACTGCATCACATCTAAGTGTCATAATATCTGTTTACATGTATTTTTGTATGTTACAGTGGAAGCTGGCACAGTAGTCAGAGGGAATGATGAGCTGGAGAGGAATATGGTGGTGGTGGAGACAGTTGCTCTCAGTAAGGGTCTTCCTCCAGAGGTCATCACAGTGCTACTGGACTTGGCTTTAAGCCTCAACGCAGGTAATACAATTAGGGGTTGCACAGATTTCTTCAGCTGTATTTGTTTACATGAGCAGGAATTCATCATGAGAAACATTATAGCAATTAGATCACAGTCAAACATATCATCCTAATTCTGCTGCGTGCCTTTAGTGGTTTATGGCACAGATAATTAAATTCAGTTTGTGCAACAGGAACCACGAACTGTACCCGGGTGCTGAAGTTTCTCATACCTGCCACAGTGGTGCCGCAGGAGGCTATTGTGAAGGGGGCGTCGTGGCTATGTGTAGGGAAAATGCCAATGAATGCACAGGTAAGGGCTGTCAATTGTACCTGGTCATTGGTGAAATGGCTGTCATTTACTTTTGCTTTATAGGTCTCAAAATTAAAGTTGAAAATGAAAAGTAATCTATTTTCTAAATACATATTATAGGTTTCATTGTGAAAGATTTATATATGTTTCCTTTTTATTATACTTTTTTACCTTGTTTATTAAATTTTTAATAAGGTCTTTTCATTTAATTATTAAAATTTTAATCAAAATATCATGTCTCAGACTCATGGTGGAATGACAGACTTCTATTTGGTTATGTTTTTAGGGCTTTGACAATTATTTAGTCTGCTTAAATCTACCTCTGCAGGCCCACATTCTTCTAACTCCATTTTTGTGTGCATCACCCACATCTCAAATTGTGTTTTTCTTTTTTAATAATCCGTTATACTGTAAATGTGTCACCAATATGAAAGAACAAAATCTGTCAGTGCTTCCATTTCATTGCCATTTTAAACATTCAGTTCACTCTCTTAGTAACATGTTTTCTTTTAAGGTTCTCTTTGTCCGCTGGGTACTCACTGTTTTTGACCTGATTGATTGCAAAGACAACCTGAGATCCATTTATGGCTTCATTTTCAGCTTTGTGACAGAAGAAAATCTGGTTAGTTGTGCTTTGCAAATGCTTCTTTTAATTTAGAAAATGTGTATGTTGTAAGTATACTGGCTTATGTTTTATAATTGCATACAATTTTTTTATTTTCATGTTAATTTACTAGGCTGTTTTTTTTTCTTCCAGTGCCCATTTATTTGCCACTTGTTGTACCTTTTAACCATGAGGGAACATGGTGAGCTGTTAAATAAGTGGTTGAATTTTTTTGTCTGTGAGTGAATTCTGTAATAATGCATGATGTTATTTGCTCGTTATTCTGATTATTATTATAATTTTTTCCCCCCACTTTCATAGTTCACCCGTACAGAGTCAGGAAACTGTTGGATATTCAGGCTAAAATGGTAAAGACTATCTATTAAAATAAACACCTCAATATCCTCATCATAAATGTAGACTAACTGTAGTGGTAGAGAATGTTTCTTTTAATTGGATACATTTCATTTGACAAGTACTTTGTGTTTCTCCCTTTTTCTTATTAGGGCAGACAACCATTTCTCACCCAACTTCTAGCACTCTACAAAGTGTACCACCCAGACCTAGTGACGCTTTCTCTTCCATCAAGAGTGAGGGTTAGTGCATTTATTACTTCTCTAGCAGAACTTTGTTCTTCTGCCAGGTGTTTCAGACTCTTAGACTGTAGTTTTTTTTTTCCAGACTGGATTCAAGAATCACAATTCCACCTGGAAAGTAGCTCTGAGTGCTGTGCAGAGGAAAAACAAGGGTGCTGTTTTAGTTGACCAGAGCCTCAGCCTGGATGTGAAAGAGAAGCCATCCACTAGAAAGAGGGTAAGATGTCATTTGTGTAATACTGTAAAGAGCTTTACAGAACACTCACTGTTAAATAAGGGCTGTAATAAACATCACAACTTTTAACAGCATTTAAAACACTAGGATTTGCCTAAAAGCTGGACATCATACACAATGACACAGGCAGCATCACATGCTACAAGACTTTCAAATTGTTCCACAGAAACATGCACCTTGTTGCCAGGAGATCCATGACAAATGAAAACAATATAGCTGCATCTGAAATTGCATACTGTCTAGTAGGCACTTTATTTAGTTTGAAACGTTTTTTTTAAATGTGTGCGAAGTATGCATATGAGTAGTATAAAATTAAATTAGGATATATTTAATCCGCCATGTTG